AATACGTGCCTTGGGACAAGAGAAATAGGGATCTACAGAATGATGTTTAGAAAACCATAAACTGAAAACATTGGGTAACGATGAAGTTTTAGAGAAAATAGAATTAAAAATAGACATTATAATTACCATTATAAAGAGAATATTGAAAATACCAGTTGGGAAATACGGGAGTGGCTTTGTTTGGTTTAGTTTGGTTTGGTTGGGTTTGATTATGTTTGTTTGCTTTGGTTTACGGCATATTAAACCTCAATGGATTCTTTCATGCCAACAATTTTTATTGTTGGCAATATTTTTTTTTGAAAATCTATTTACAGTAATATTTTTTCATTATAAATGTATTTCTGGTAATAATGTTCTTTCAAATATGTATCGCTGGTAATATCTTTTTTTTTCCAAATATGTATTGCTGGTAATATTTTTTTTAATGTATTGCTGATATTTTTTTTTTCAAAAATGTATGGCCGGTAATAATTTTTTTTAAAAATGTATTTCTGGAAAAAAATTTCCTTCAGATATGAATTGCTGGTAATATTTTTTTTCAACAATGTATTCCTTGTAAAATTTTTTAATATATTGCTGATAATATTTTTTCAAAAATGTATGACCAGTAATAATTTATTTCAAAAATTTTTTTCTGGTAAAAATTTTCCTTCAGATATGTATTGCTGCTAATATTTTTTCCAAATATGTATTCCTGGTAATATTCTTTTTTCAAATATGTATTCCTGGTAATATTTTTTTCAAAAATATATTGCTGGTAATATATTTACTCCAAAAATGTATTGCTAGTAATAATTTTTTTACAAAGTATTTCGGGTATTAAAATATACTTTTACATTTTCATAGTGTTTTGACCCCAGTTTGGGGTTTAACTATTTGCCCATAGTTGAGACCCTAACATGTCCTACAACCCCGGGTCAGCGTAGACCTGAGAACACCAGCAATTAAGAGGTGGTTTCACGTTCCTCTAAACCTCCTGATCATAGGCCTTGCTGTTGGATGGAGTTTATCGTTATACCCAGGATGAGGATTTAGTTTATCGTCTTACCCAGGACGTTAGAAGTGTGGAAAATTTGACAGGATATATTTAGGGCAAGATGGGCACAGAGAATAATATATATATATATATATATATATATATATATATATATATATATATATATATATATATATATATATTTAGCAAATGCTTGACAGAACAGGGTTTAGGAGAGATAGCAAAAGAGAAACTTTACTCTGAGCTACAGTAGATAAGAAAGGGCTGTGTTTGCCAATATTCTGAAGGGAAACGAGAGATTAAAGTTGTATTTATATGCATAGCATAGCCAATTTCCCCCAACTTTTTACTAGTTTTCTTTTTATCCTCATGGCTATTTTTTAAAAAGAATTTTGTCGTAAGACTAGATATATTAGGAAGTGAAATAGAGTGTATCATTGTTAGCGTTACTTTACTGTAAAAGATTTGAAAATTCGTAAATCTTCTATTAATATTCGCTTTATTATAATGCTTCATAATATTATTATATAACAACAGAAGCAGAAATATGGTCAGATTCATTACTATGTACAATTAATGTTGTGAGTATTTTATTTTGTAAAAAATCCACTTCGTATTCATGTAATACTTTAAATAGTTTCTTAAATATGTCACCTTTGCATTTTTGAGACAACGGTTTTTATCAACAGATCAACATATCTAACAGAGAGATGAGATTGAACTTTCTATTATTGCATTATTCCACAATTTTAACATATCAGGAGATAGATATTAATGTCAACAACTGATCACAAATAGTTATTAACTAAAAATACTAATTAATGTATAATATTATCCCTAACTACATATTACAAGAATGTCATTTTTGACAAAAGTTCAAAAATTAACATAAATACGTAAAAAATACGCATAATTTCGAAAAGTTCTCTTTTATTTTTTGCAATATATCTATATGTCCTAAGTTATAATGCTTATTAGCTAAACAATAATAATACAGAATAAAATTTTTAAACATTAAAATATATTTAATTACATCTACCTTTCGCGATCTGTAAATTCCGATTTTGCATTCATTTTTTATTATTATTTTGTTTTGTGTTATTTAAATCACTTATAATTTTAGAAGTAGTTGTGACAACATTTATATTGAAATTAGTCAACTATTTTCACTTGTACTCATTAATAAGTTTGTAGGGGTTAGTGATATGATTCTGTATTTATCCAGATAATTTATACAGCATGCGGCAGAAATATCTCCGAGAAATACCTGCCAAATAATGGTAAGACATTAGTGCCAATAGTGTCTTCATCTAACTAATGTTTTCTCATTGTTCCAGATAGGCGGCGTATGTTGGAGGTATTTCTACAGCACCCTGTATTATTTTGTTAACGAAATTCCTCATGTTTTATACGCATTTATTCTAAAATATGAAAAGCAAAATGTGAAGTGCCTATTATGTACAGTTACAAAAACAATCTTTAAAAACCACGCATTTTTTTCTGAAAAATAAAAGCAAATTGAGGAGTACGTATTATGCAGAGGTACAAAAAATCTTTAAAAAAATTACCATTTCATAAGTCGAAATCAATTGCGAAATGACTACTCAGTACAAATATTTGAAAATTTGACACTAATATTCGGAGATTGCGACCGCATAAGGATGTCAAATACAATCATATGTACCTAAAAATACTTTCAAATGTAAAATAAAATAAGAATTATCATAAAAATAAATTAAAATAATATTATTCTATGTTTAATTTTTTTAAATAAGAGTAGAAAACGCTGGCCGTAATGAATTTGGAGAGATACAATTTATAAGGTTTGGTTACCAAACAAGGGATGCGTATTATGCGTGAGTACAAGCATTTTCCCACTTTCAGCACAATTTTAGATATTATGGATGAAGGCGTATCATACATGGTGGTTTACATTAATGTTATTCTTCTAATTCCAGAATTACATTTATATGTAGGTCTCAACAGATTAATACTGGAATTACTAAGTGTAAACGTAGGTTCTATGCTTCTTTCCTCGTCCTTCTCTTGTATGAAACACTATTCCGGCTTCTTGTTTTCCTGTTAACTACGATCTTCAACAATTTAAATTGCCATCTTCTGATCCTTAAAATCAGTTTCCTTCATTCTCAGTAAGCCCTTGCGTCTTAAAGATTTTATCGTTTAGCTTGGGATGACTAATAATGTTTACTGGTTAACATTTTCGACACGCATTATCTATATCAGTGATTCTCAACATGGGCTAGGTGGAGCATCATTGGTTCACATAGCATTTCTAGTGGTCCACCGAGAATTCGTAGCATAAAAAATTGTACTCATTTCACAAAAATGTATTTAAATTATTCATACTTTGAAGAATTAAAAGATATAATATTCTGCTTAATTACACACATGTCCATTATATTTGAAAATTTCGAAATTATGTAGGTATTATGCAGTGTTATATTTATTTTATTTTCGTCATATACATATGTATGTGTTATGGGAACTTACACATAATAATAATGGACTGTTCCTGACATTATAAATACTGCGCCTCTCAAGAAGATTGTAAGACGAGGAGAGATAATTGAGAGCATATTGTAAGGACATTGAAATAGTGATATTTGTCGAGACAACATAGTTCACTTTAACCAAATCTGATAGTCATTACTAATACTTTTACTTTTTTGTATTATATTTCTGTTGTAATATATCTTTGTATTCCATACCTGTGTTCGTGTTATTCTTTCATTGGTTCTAACCTCGGACCATCACCCGTGGTACAAGGAACTTGGACCATAACAGTATGCATATATAAAATGTTATATATATTATATATAATTATTTTATTCATACAAAAAATTATTCCTATGTTAATAGATCACTACACAATATTGTTTGATAATGAAGTTTATACCATTATAATTGATTATGATATCTTGTGTAAGGAACACCAAGGTCAAGGTAGTCACTAGCTGAATGGACAAAGACTGAGTGATATCATCCATATTAATTTTAATATCCTGTCTTTATCCTTGTTTACTAAAATAAATTTTAACGTGTAAATATAATACTTTGTTTTTTCATTGAGTTATTTTAGAGTGTAAATCTACTAGCCTAAAAGTAAAAGTACGAGTGGTCCATTTGAATGTTTTTAGAAAAAAAATGGTCCATGGCATAAAAAAGGATGAGAATCACTGATCTATATGAAATAATTAGGCTAATTGAAGAGGATTTGAAAGACTTAGTATATTTCTCTTCAGTTAAACTGAGGTCGATTTTTTTTATATATACACTTAAACAGAATCAAGAAAAGGATCTAAATTTTATTGATTAATTAATTGATTGATTGTTTCTAACGTCCCCGCAAACTCTTCTTGCTCATTAAGAGCCAATTTGATTTTGTTGTAAACATATTTATAGTTGGTCAAGTATAGATAACAGTAAGTTTTAGAGCTATAAAACGTCAGATATGTTAGAAGGCAATTTTATAGCTTGTTAAGTATGGTAGAATGGAAGTTTTTCCCAAGTATAGTATGGAAGAAGTTTTATTGCTCATCAGGTATGGTTGAAAAACAAGTTTTATTGTTTGTCAAAAATGATATATAAGTTTGAATTCCCTGATGAAACATAAACTACAATTTATTACCTTTTCATGAGATCATGATCAACCGCGCCGGTAAATTTCTAAAACTAAACGTTCATCTAAAATCGCCCGGGAGAAAAAACGGATCTCATAATCATTGCAACACATCAACAAACAAAATTCGCAATAATCATCGTTTTCTATTTAAGATACTTAGAAATTAAGGCTCTCAATATTGGTACACCGTGGTATATTTCGACGTGGTGGAATAGATAACAATTACTACGAAATAGTGAGTTCGATCATCACCGGGAGCTTTGTATCTACGCCCATGTGCCAAATATATGCTACGCTAATTTTAATCTCTACTTGAGCGACAAAGTAAAATATAGTGCAAATGCTTTTAAACTATTTTCACTATGGATAGTAATTTATAATAAGAAATATTAGGACGGTCGGCTCGGAAAGAGAATTATAGTGTGTAGTCCCAGACGGTCGAGTGTAGAGAGCGAGACGGTCGGCTCGGAAAGAGAATTGGAGTGTGTAGTCCGAGACGGTCGGCTCGGAAAGAGAATTGGAGTGTGTAGTCAGAGACGGTCGGCTCAGAAAGAGAATTGGAGTGTGTAGTCCGAGACGGTCGGCTCGGAAAGAGAATTGGAGTGTGTAGTCCGAGACGGTCGGCTCAGAAAGAGAATTGGAGTGTGTAGTCCGAGACGGTCGGCTCGGAAAGAGAATTGAGGTGTAGTCCGAGACGGTCGGCTCGGAAAGAGAATTGGCTGTGAAGAGAGAATTGATTGTGTAGTCCGAGACGGTCGGCTCGGAAAAGAGAATTGGAGTGTGTAGTCCGAGACGGTGGGCTCAGAAAGAGAATTGAGTGTGTAGTCCGAGACGGTCGGCTCGGAAAGAGAATTGGAGTGTGTCCGAGACGGTGGGCTCAGAAAGAGAATTGGAGTGTGTAGTCCGAGACGGTGGGCTCAGAAAGAGAATTGGAGTGTGTAGTCGGGGATGGTCGGCTCGGAGAGAGAATCGGTGAGTGTGTCACTATTCCGGTCGGGTACGGTACATTCGCCTACGCATAAATAACATTGCAAAAATATGAATTTATCTTCTCCAGAAACTATAGATTAAATAGTAGAGCTTCTATCTCGAAAAAATTGTTATTTAAAAAAATGGTTTTGCAGTATTGATATTTATATTTATTTAGACAATCCAAAATATTATTGTCTTTAAAGTGTTAATAACGGTTAAAAGATAATCTATCAATCGTATTCTTTTGAGCTGTGTTTTTGCTTGCGTTTTTTGTTAGTGTTTCTCGAAAGTAAGCCTTTTCAATATGTTTTACCTAAACAATCGGTGTATCTGTGACAAACCAATGTGGCTTGATTAAAATACCCCAGAAAACAATATTACCTCATCTTTTAAATAAACTTGAACATGCAGTCGAGTTTACCAAGGAAACAGAAAACAAAATTACAATATATTACAGTGTAACCCGGATATAAGAGACCCGGGTATAAGAGAAACCCGGATATAAGAGAGATTTTCTCTGGTCCCGACAACTTTCTTATATCCGGTTTACACTGCATCTTTCTATCGATATCATGTTAAAAAGTGCTAATATTGATATAAAGTTAAAATCGACAAATTATCGAAAATTCAACAACGAAATTGATCTCGTAAAGCTCTGTTTGCACCAGTGCAACAAGTAAACTCCGGAATAATTATGTGTTTCTCTGTGAACTGAAAATGTTGAATTCTTATAATGATTGAAATGAAAGACGAAGATCGTAAGAACATTCAGAGTTTGTCCACTATTTGATCTACACCTAAACGTATTAATAAAACATGTGTGACTTATTAGTTGCTTTCTTTAATGCGCACAAAGAAAGCGACGAATTGTTTTTTGTTTTATTTTTTATTCGGAAAAAATGATTCAACCTTAAACCGGAAAATAACTGGAACAGACATACAGCGGGAATATGTTACATATTCGTGTTTATTTTATCAATTTTATCTGTTAGTTTTTTTTTTTGTCAGTTAGTCGCGTCCAAATTAAGCTTCCTGATAACGAGGTTGCTTCTGAATTGAAAAAAAGTAATGCCATGTATACTAGTATTGTTTTTTTTTTGATCTTTCGGAAATGATTAGTTCTGCATGGATTCCTGTTCTGCGGATTGGTGAACAATTCTCTTAGTTATTATGAACTCTGCAATAAATATATTGTGAACTAAACTGCTACGCGTAACAAAAAAAAAAAAACATTGCTCACAGGATTCGAGAAACATCAAAAGCAAGCTAGTCGCAAAATGAGATTAAAAAACAGAAAAAAAGATCACAATTCGAGTAACTCAAGCAAATTAATACTTCTCTTCTATCTCGACTATTGCTTTCTTTCTCGTAATATCATTTCACTCAGTTATTTTGAACACTTAGCCGACTTTTATGAGTCAAAATAAGATTTTTAAACGATTCCTATAAAAAAAGTATTTGTTTTGTGGCATATATCAACCTCAATGGGTTATTTAATGCCGACAATATTTTTATTGATGGTAATATTTTTTTTTTCAAACAATTGTTGTTAATATTTTTTTTCCAAAATGCATTGCTGGTAATATTTTTTTTTTTTTTCAAAAATGTATTGCTGGTATTAAAACCTATTTTTCTACTTTCTTAGTGTTTTGACCCACTTTTTATGGGAGGTTAACTATTTGCCCATACATGAGACCATGACAGGTGCTACCACCTCGGGTCAGGGTGGACTTGGGTTAACAGCAATTAAGAGGTCGCTCCACGCTCCTCAAAACCTCCAGATAAGAGTTATTGATGTCGGATGTAATGTATAGTCATACCCAGGACGGAAGTAGTCGTTTACTCATAGAGGATGAAAATAATTAACTGATGGACAAAGCAAAAAAAAAAAATGGAGAAGCGTTAACCACGTTAAAAACAGGGGACTAACGACGGATAGACGATTCTTCAATCAGTGTGGAGAATTACCTCGTAGGTCTATATAGGGCAAGAGTAGCGTAGCCCATAAGGGCGAGCAAATTGCTAGTGATGCACACTCTCCGGGAACAGGCGATGGAATGACGAGGCGCATGCGTCAGTGAGTCAGATCGAGGCTGGCAGCATGCTGAATATGCTAATTCTCTGGCTCGGAAAGAACGTGTAAAAAAGTCGAGTCCTTGTCGCGTCGGCAGAAAGACTTTGTGCGTCCATCGTAATTCACGTCGCTGCGTACTTAACCGGAATTCTTTGCGAGGGTGTTTCTAGTGGCTTTTTTTTCTACACACAGATAAACATTTATAACTGATTTCTTTTTAAACCATATCACCCCCAAGGAAGGCGGGAGTGCCACTATCACACGAGGGGTTACAGAGAGTGAGAGCAAGAGTAAAGAGAAGTGATTGAGGAAAGGATAAAGAGAAAAACAAGGATGAAGATCGAGGCATTAGAAGATACCGATTGACATTACATTTGAATATTTGAAGAATATCGCTAGGGTAGCAATAAGAGGAAGGGAGTTGCACTGTTGGGAAGTGCGAGATAAGAAGCTGTTGGAGTAGAAGAGGCGGCTATATGTTAACCGTTTCGACAGTAAATGTGTGGTACTGTTGGGGCTACCCACCTTCTCATCAGAATGGACTGATCTCTCTACTACTAATAGGACAGTTCTATAGAGTTCTGGGAGATCAGGTGACCATCACACTTCTGTCTCTCTACCGGAAGATACAGTTGGACTTTATACTCTTTCTGATTGTTACTGACTAACCTGCGTTCGTTTGACTACTAATCTCTCTGTTGTAAATACCTTTTCAGATATACCAGTATTTTTCCCTACGTATGTGTTTGTCCTTATTTCAATACATGCACGGGGAAACACTCAACATCTCAGGTACCGAGATACCAAACTAGTATCACGCTTAAATCCATGCAGTTGGGGTACTAGCGAAAATAGCTCGTCAGAACAATTGTCATGGAAATATTTGCAGAAATGTGAGAAAGTGACTGTAGACGAGGTGTAAGATCAGGACCTGTCACATTGCATATCCGTCTCTGGACTTTGTCGAGCGTCTATACATATAGATACTTGTCATGATATAAAATCCTTATATTTTTTCTTCATAAAGTCTCTCAGACGACGAAATGCATTCACTAAGATATTTTCCCTTTTGTTGTTATTCATATTCTCCTTTTACAGATATAGTTTCTTAATTTTTTACAGGCGCACACATAAACTCGCCCCCTCATACACATATATATAGTACTTCTTTTCCCATACCTTACAAGAGTAAGATCATAGCTAAAATAGATTATACCCGTCATATATACGTAGAGTTCCATAATCATTACTTTCTAGCCTCGAGTGGGTATAAAAAAATTTTATGCGGATATTTGTGGGAGGAGATATTTTCCACTATGCTGCCCCTTTTCTTTAGGAGCCAACGGCGGCGAATCTGCCGCTATTCTATAGATATTTCGAATCTCGCTTCTTTAGTTGACCATTTCAGACGTCTAGAGCTAAGACCTCGCCACGCCGCGTCTACACGTAGAACTGCAATCATACCATTACAAGGTGGGCGTTCCACAAAGACAGCTTCTTTTGAATGTCAATCCTTGTCTAACCTAATATCCACATAATCCTTGCTTCTTACTTTTTTTTATTATTACATTCATATGAATTCTTCTTTTTGTTTAGTGACATGTCAACACCTCAATAGGCTATTTAATGCTGAGAACTAAATAATTTGAAAACAAGTTTATGGCTTCAATTGAATATATTTTGAACGCAATTTTATGCCTTCGACTACAGATAAAATGTATTTTGGTCATTTTGCTGTCAAATGTGTTTGTTAGTAATTCGACTATAAAATGTATTTTACATCATTTTGTTTCGCGGAATATCAGCCTCTATGGGCTATTTAGTATCGAGAACTAAATAATTTGACGACATTTTTAAGGCTTCAATTGAATATATTTTGAACGCAATCGCATGCCTTCGACTACAAATAAATGTATTGTTGGTCAATTTTCTATAAAAATGTATTGTTGGTAATTCTACTATAAAATATATTGCTCGTCATTTTGCATAAAAATTGTATAGTTGATTATTTTAATATAAATATGTATTTTTGGTATTTTTTTATGTAAAAAAATCTAGTTCTGGTATGTTTATTATAAAATGTATTTTTATACTTTCATAGTGTTTTGTTTTTGTTTTGGGGTTTACTATTTGGATATAGGTAAGACCTTAACACGTGCTACCACCACGGGTCTGGGTGAATCTGGGAACCATAGAAATTAAATTGTGCTTCCGCACACCTCAAAACCTACAATTTCCCGATTAAAGGCATTGCTGCCGGATGTAGTTTATCGTTATACCCAGGACTAGGTTAGAAAGATTATTCAAGGGGGTTATTGCCTGAGCAGTAAGAGTAAGGTGTAAGAGTTTCAATTTATGACTGTATGTAGGAAATAGTGGGTCAATCATTGGGGTTTTTGTTTTATATAAATATGTATTGCTACTAGTTTTTTATTAAACTATATCTTATATTTCCATCGTGTTTTTGTTTGGAGGTTTCATTATTTTGTCATAGTTGGGACCATACCAGGTCCTATTACACCGGGTCATGGTTGACCTAGGTACGACGACAATTAAGAGACGATTGCAGACTCTTCAAACTCCTGATCAGATGATTTCCTACTGTTTGGTGTGTATTACCCTACCCAGGACTACATTAACATGACACACCCCAGTCCTTATGCTCCTTGGAGAGAATACTAGTTTTAAAAAGAAACATCTTTGGTTTAGTCTGGTTTGTTTTACAGCATATCAACTTCATTGAGTTATTTAATGTCGACAAAATTTTTATTTCTGGTAATATTTTTTGAACAAAAATGTATAGTTGGTAATATCTTTATTTTTTTTCTTTTAAAAATATATTGCTGGTAATAATTTTTTTACAAATTGTTTCTGGTATTAAAACCTATTTTTCCACTTTCATAGTGTTTTGAACCCAGTCTGGGGGTTAACTATTTACCCATAGTTGTAACCCGTAACAGGTGCTA